CAAAAAAACAGAATCAAATAGAGATAATACATTCAATGTTAACAGAATATATACACTGTGAGTAGAAAACAGTGAGTTGCTCTCTCCCTGATCCAGGATATTCACCACCTCTCTCTGATATTACGTTTGTAACCTGTATGATCTAAAAACCAATCTCTGTTCCATCTCCTGTTGTGTCTGAAGCTGCGGCAGCTGTTTAGTCCGTGAGTATATATTTTGGCTATTTGCTGTTAATATATAGAGACAGTGAAGGAGAAACAGGAACGTCAGGCCGCGATAAACAGGAAGTAGTCCTGTCGAGCTTTTCAACGTGTACGCACCGACGTGGTTTGCCCCCCCCCCCGCGCCTGCATTTTCAGCCCTGTGTGTGAAAACAACAAACATGTCTACTAGAAACTGAATATTTCAGCAACAGCAATGTTGTAGGAAACGTGGTTGCAACCAAATTCGGCTTTCTCTTAACACCATGACTATATTGTTCATTTACTTGTCAAGTCCCAAACATTGATGCAGACAATATATTCAGAGACAATCTCTGATGTTAGAGATCAATCTCCACCTGAGGTGACTCGAGCTTATTCAACTTTATGAAACACGGCTCTGCTCACACTCCTCTTGTGCCGATTTCAGTGAAACGTCCTGGTCTGGTTGAATACAGTTCACAGTGAGGTCAGACACAACCTGTGGAACTACATTTAACCAAAACCATTGTTCACAAACCTCAACCTAAGCGGTGTCAGGAGAGATGGGGCCGTGTGAGAGCCCCGGTCTCCCTCTGCTGTGACGGCCGTGTTCTTCAACCTCAATCCACCCCAACCACCTCCTCACCACGGCTGCCATTACAGCCTGGACATGATTCAGTTAGAGATGCTTTACAAATGTATCACTTGTTGTTTGTAGTTTTTTTGGTCTGTCTTTATATGGGGCTTGATGACCACTCCAAGTGCTTTACAGTACATTACTTTCTCCATGAGAACAGCACAACCATCAGGGGCAAGTTGGGGTGCCCATCGGAATGGGATCGAACTGCCAACCTTTCGGTTAGCGGACGACCCCTCTCCCCCTGAGCCACAGCTGCCCTAATGTTAACTATCCTGGAGTGTGATTACAACAAGACTGCTTGACACACTAGACGCCTACTCACATACTCCACCATCACTGACAATACCTCCTCAATTCAATTGTCATTGCTGCTCTCCTTCATCTCTCTCGGATATTTGTATATACGTATAAATACTTTAAACATTGACACACTTTTCCATGATGTTAACAACTGTTTCTTCAAATCAGTGTTGTCAATATAGTTTTTTTGTTGATGTGTTCAGTTACATGCAGCATCTATTGCACTTCTGTCCATCCTGGGAGAGGGATCCCTCACATGTGGCTCTCTCCGAAGTTTCTACATTCTCCTACAAGCCTTATGAGACAAATGGTGATTTGTGAATACGGGCTATACAAATGAAATTGGATCGATCAATTGATAGTCTATGAACGACAGCGCTTGATTGAAAAAGCTAATATGATCCTGAGTTAGGTTTTCTTACAACACAAAAGTTTCTATTGTGTTCACATGGACAGAGTTAAATAAGACATGGGGGAGGTGGAGGTGGAGAAAGGGGCCCCGGAACCTTCACATTAACTCAAGCATTGCGGTCTAGGGTGTACATTTAAACAGTACAAATTCTTGTTTTATTATGCAGGATGCAGAAGGCAGCGGGGCCGGGTTCACAACACAGGATGTTTGCATCCTGACACCAAAGTCATCGAGTGAACAGAGATGACATGCACTCTCTGAAGACAAAGGGCATAGATACAATGGCTGAGATTTAAAAAATTTTTTTTTTTACAATTTTGCCATAGTGTCAGTCCTGCTGCTTATTTCCCTCGAAACTGTTTTTCCAGATAATAACACACACCCTGCTGTGACAAATAGATGCACCAAGACACAAAAATGCACCGTGAGAGAACAATACTGTCCAACAACATGAAAACAAACCTGTGGCACACTGATGCAACAAGGTGACACTGTACACACACACACACACACTGTTCTCCATCCTCTATATGCTATATTTGCTGGAGGGCAAACGTAGCCCAGTGTTTCTCTCACATGCTGCACTGCACCTTGATGACAGGAAGTGAGATCTCCTGCAGAAACCCTCTGCTTCTCTCCCTGTGGGTGTTTTGGGTGAAATCTCCTCACTCACCTTGAACACATCTCCGTAAGTGCCGCAGCCGATCCGGTGGATTAACTCGTAGTCGTCCAGGGGGTCCAGGAACGACACCCCTATCCTGTCCATGTCTTGGAGACACCTCGGGCTGCAGCGAGGCTGACGCTCTCTACTCACACATGACAGCGCACGAACACCACGCTCTGTCTGGCTGCCTGATGGGAACTAATTGGGGCTGGCTAATTGCTGGTGCGTAGGTCGGACGAGGGAGGCAGAGTGATCCCGACCGAGCCAACTCCGCGATCACCGACGAGAGTCTGCGCGCAAATAGTTCCCGAAGCGGCGCTGGAGTCACGTCACGCATGAGCAGAGACAAGCCTACACTGTAAAGCATTTCAGTCGCTCATTGGTGCTCTGAGCCTGTGTCAAGGTTCACCTGAGCCCCAGACAGAGAAACATCCACTCGAGATTCTAGGGCCAAGTGAAATGTAAGATAAAAGGTGCAGTGAAGAACGATCAGTCAAACTTAAAACTCAGAATCTACTAAATCCTAAGAAATAAAAGAAAAATAATAAGAAATCAAAAGAGGATTAGAGCACATGAGTTTTTTAAAAGAAAACAAAAGCTGGATTCTGACATTTTTCCACAGGAGAGAAAATCCTGGTGATAAATTAAATAATATGGAATTCAATAATAGGCCTAATGTAAGTAATAGTATTATCTTTCATAATAATAATTCAATTTTATTTGTATAGTGTAAAATCACAATATACATTATCTCAAGCAACTTTACATAGAAGGTCAAGACCTTAAAATTAAACTCTGGACATAATAATAATAAAATCAATTTAGAATTCAGACATAACTTTAATGCTAATGAATTTTCACGGTAAATCAAGATTTAAATCGAGAGGATTAGGGCCACATCAGAATTCTGACTGTAAATCTGTCTTTGTGAAATACAATTTAAATAAAGACTCTTTTCCCGTAGAATTCTGGAATTAAAATCAGCCAAAAACGAATAAGCACTAATTCTGATGGTAGTCAGTCAAATAAAGAGAGAAACTTTTAATTTTAGAGAAAATGTCGATGTGGCCCTGATCCTCTTCGATAAGATTTAATCATGATCACATGTTAGGGTCTGATCAGCCTGTGGTGGGCCTGCCATGGAAGAGCAGATCACCTGATTACACAAAGGTTCACAACTGATCCCTAACATCCGCTGGTGGTCACCAATATCTGCTCGTGGTTGGCAACTTAACGTCAAGCTTCTGTGGAACACCTTCAAACATATAAGTGATAATTTTGAGTTTAATTTTGACCTGAATGTTTTATTATCTCACAAAGTGGACCCATGTTCTTTTGTGTTTTCTTGGTTATTCATGCTTTATTGTGTCATGTATTGTGTTTGTTGTGTATCTGTGGACATATGTGCATATTGGTTTTTGAAAGCAAACAAACTGTGCTGTACTGAATGTATGTTCCATCCACTCAGGACTGCTGTTCGTCTCTGCTAAGTCTCTAACCGCAGCTCATCGCTAAAACTTCAATGACATAACGGTAAAGTTTCCGTTTCAGTTTTTTCTCTCCCTCAGCTGCCACAAGAATGCACGCTCCTCTCATTGATGCTATGGTTAACCCAGAGAACTGATACAAATGGCCTGTTGGGTTAAAGTTGACCCATCCGCAGAGAGCTGGTCTCTAAATCGGTGGACCACTGATCTCCTTCAGAATATAGAAAACAACATGCCTCCCACTGCAGTACAGGCCGAAGCATCCTGTTTTTACAGTGTGCAGCCTCCACACTGTTCAGCTGGTCACCTACAAACTTGTGCCCTGATACAGTGACAAGAATGATCTGCATTTATTGTTCACACAACTGTCACCATTGTATGGCTCTTCAGTGTAGGCTGAAAAAGAATGCGAACCTCTGGGCCGACAGGAGTCAATCAAACCTGGAGTCCGGCCAATGAAAGCAGACTGGAAGTGCATGTTAGAGCAACTTTGAAAACTCTGAAGACCTGTTGATTTACAAGAAGCAGGAACGTGTTAGTCACCTCAAAGAGTTTAGATATTCATCAGTGCATATTCAGACTAACTGTGTTAAAGGAGGCATTTCAGTTCTGTGGTTACTCTCCATAGACTTTTTGGTCCAGCTCAGATGACTCTGAAGTCCCAACAAAGCATTAGTGACATAAAAACTAACAGCTAAAGGTTTAAGTGGAGCAAAGTAACACCACAGAGGAAGCTGCTGCTCTCCAGAAACACATCACTGTGTCTGAAGTTCGCTAAAGAGCAGCTTGACTCTCTACAACACTGCTGGGAATATTTAGTGGACTGATGAAACTTTGATAAGAACATGCAGCTACAGTTCAGCGGAGGGAGCTTCATCTTCCAGGATCAGGTCAGGGAGGCTGTTCACCTGCAGAAGAGCAGCAGAAGTCGATGAAACAGCAGAACAATGACCCTGAACTTTAAAGTAAATCTACTACAGAATGAGTCCAAACAAAGACAATCCACCTTCTGAAGTGATCCAGTCAGAGTCCAGACCTTAACCCAGGAGAGAAGCTGTGGAATGAGCTCAGAGCCGTTCACACCAGACGTCCAGAGAACATGTCTGAGCTGAAGCAGCTCGGCAATGGAAGTTTAGTTGTTTTCAGACATGACCTGCGGAGCATCTCTAGAGATTTGAGTCTGGACTTTCTGCAGAGTTTGTCTTTCACACATGAACTACGCTGCAGGAGATTCAGCGCATTGTCTTTGCTAAATACTTGTGACTGAGACGAAGATCAGATCATATTCAAAAAACCAGGTCATTGTAAGTCAGCAGATCATCACACTCTGTCGTCAGGTCTTTATTACTTGCAGATACAAAACAAGAACAAAAACCACATCAAGTCATCAAGCAAATAGGATGTAGCAGGGCCACCTAATGTGACTTTGTCTCAACAGTGCATGGTCTTCCTGGTGTTCTCTAATCATTAAAAATAGGCCTCACTCAGCTATTCTCAAAACTAAAGGCCACCTACTTTAGAAAAGAACAAAAGCAAAGTAAGGCAACAAAGAGCTAGCAAGAAAGAAGCTGTCGATAGAGCAGAAGTGGACAATGTTACACAGTAACTATCCTAAATTAATTACTTCCAAGGCTTCAGTTATGAACAGGTTCCTAATGGTACAAGTTGATATTTACACATCTGTACGTTGAATTCTGGTCCTCGTCGTTACTTTGGCTTCAAACACCCATGTATAAGTCAGTGAGAAGTTAATAGTCAGTGTACAATTGGCTGCCAATTAAAACACAAAACTAATGAGTGAAGGTTACAACTGATCAACCAGGTAGTTCCCCAAAAATGGGAGGATTTCTTTTTAAATAAAAACAGTGAAAAGTCCATTCCTTCAGTTCAAACCTGATATGTGACATTTAACTGCAGAACATCTTTGCATGTCAAATATATTCCTGGGAACTATGAGGGTGTTCGCCGAAAACGACCTCTGGATGAAAACACAGCTAAAAAGTTTCACAAACGAGAGCGAGGTTGATCGGGCGTCCGTGCGGCTGTTCACAGTATGTCGTACAGAATCTCTACAACAATCAACATGTCTAGAGCGATTTGCGCTGCCGCTTCATGAAGGACATGGAGTAATCCCCTGCTGGGGTGCTCTTCTGTCTCTTCATCTGGACCTGTGACTGGGCGGTGAGCTGCAGCTTGATGGCGCTGGAGTTCACCTTGGCCGCACGCAGCAGCTCCTTCATCCCCTTCATCTTCTCGCTCTGAAAGACGACAACAGGGCCGACCGGGGAGGGGGACGCCTGCTGCTGGGACAACGGGGAGGATGCAGAATCTGGGCTGGGGGACTTGGGTTTGCCGTCGGCTTCTCCGCTCCGCTGACCCTGTGAGGAGCGGCGGCGGCCGCCTCCCTCGCCCACCTTCCTGGGCTGAGATGCTGCTGGGAGCAGGGTGGATGGGGAGGTGGGCGCAGCAGGAGGGGAAGATGAGTTCTGCTCCTCCAGCCTGGACTCCCTCCTGGGGCCTCGCCGGCGGCCCTCCCGGGGGTCATCGCTGGACTGGTCGTCATCGTCCAGGGACTCTGGCTCTTTGGTGATGATGGACACCTTCTGACGCACCTTTGGAAGAAGAGCACAAGCCTATTTTCAGCCAACCAGCATCATCATGTATGCGAGCACCATCAGCTTGGACCCCTGTTGGCTCTTCTCATTTTGATCTTCAAACACAGAACTAATCTGGGTTCCTCACCTGAGCATCAAAGCGGCTCAGGGACTGAACCAAGTAGGTGGCCCAGCCCACATGAAGGACCGGCGTGGGACTGCCCTCCTCCCATTTGCAGATGCCATCATAGAAACGCAGCAGGTGGGCAAAGCATTCTGGGTCCTGGAGTGCCGAGAAGGCTGCAGCTTGTTTGGGGAGCTCCTGGAAATGCAAAGTTGGTTTAGAGACACAACGTGCAAAGGAGAAAGAAGCAAATGAAATGAAGCACATTGATTCAAATGTCACGCAAAGCTTTGCAGTGCATCTGTCTTGACTCATTGTGTATTGGGAGTCCTTGGTGTTGTGTTATCCGCATCTGATTACAGAAAAATGTTTATAGTTTATAGCGCATGCACAATGGATGGACTGCAAATCTGGGACCTGTGCATAGACGCAACATCTGTGGTTATCGAGGTGACTTCAGGTTACTACACTTTAAGGTCCAGTGTGTAAGATTTAGGTGAAAGGGATCTATTAGCAGAAATTGAATGTAGAATAATCCTCATGATGTTTTCACTAGTTGTTTCATCTAAATTGTATGAATTGTATTTTTCTTCACCCCAGAAAAGGCCCTGTATATTTGAATACTTCAATATATATTGAGGGGGTCCTCTCTACAGAGGCCGCCATGTTTTTTACATTAGCCAAGACTGGACAAGCTAAACACCTTTTGAGTTTTTATGACAATCAAAGGCTGCCACAGTTTCTTTTTCACTTTTGGAAGGAGAGGGTGAGGTGAGGGGTGTTCAGCTGCAACATGAAATTTCACCGCTAGATATCACTAAATCCTACACACTGTATCTTTAACTGTTATCTCATACAACATAAATAAACAAGTATAGAAATTTCATTTGAATTAAACAGAGTCTGACAGTTTGTTTATAATAGTTTTTCAGTTTTGTAAAATGCCTCTGCTTATTTACAGTTTATCAAAGGCTACCTTAAAATGTTTGACCTATTTCTTTTCAATTCTAGTCTTGTGATCATATTATTTACATTTCATTTTGTTATATTTCACTTGTGTCCGTCATTATAACCAAATTTACCTGCAGGTATCAGGGTATCTTCTCAAATCATATAGATAATTTTTCATGGTTCTGATGTGGTTGTTTTTTAAGGTAACCACTCTGGATTTTCCAGCTAAGAGCTGTGAATGCAGCAGAGTGAACTGAGACAGCTTCAAACACCTATATAATGCTGGTTATCAGGACAATGTTAAGTTCAGTAACACCACATGACACCAGGAGGATCTTGCTTGGTAGAACAAATCACTGGAGGAGGTCGGACTTGCTTTGATGTCTGAAGTCACTATATAATCACAGGCTGTAATATATTGCAGCATATTTAGTTGTTTATTTAAATGTAGGTCTGACAATATTGTTGGGCTGCAAAAACCTTTATTTGCATTATCGCTTCTTATGATTATTTTCTCACTTTGTCATTCTGTCTGTTAAGAGTCAAAACATGACGTCGTAATTTCCCACACTCCAAATTTTAAATGTCTTAATCCGTACAACCAAGAGTCCAAGTCCCTTCGACACTTAGTTTATTATCATGTCACAGTTGGAAGCTGGAAGCAGAACAAATGAGTGATTTTTATAAATCACTCAATTATCAATATTTGCCAATAAAATTTCTGCTGATGGACTCGCTGATAAATCATCCAGTGTTTCACACTCGGAGTATTGATGAGCAACCTTGGTTATGTGCGAACATGTAACAATGTATATTTTCTGGTGTGTGAAAAACGATTTAACATCTTGAACACAAGCGGACTCCTTTGCTGTTACGTTACTGTTTCCATGTGGACTGACTAATCTCTACGTGACAAACGCTTTGGTTACTTCAGTGAGGGGTAAATCTCCCCTTAGATTAGAACAGCTGCAGGTGCGAACTAAAGAGATTATAGAGCGTGTGCAAACACAGATCACATGTTAATACCCTTCCTTTGACAAACAGAAAAGGAGATCATGCTGCTGTAAATAAACTCTAATGCATCTATATGCATAGTATGTGTAATATCAGTAAGTAATACCTGGCTGGGAAAACTCACCTTGTCAGCTCCTTCTCCCCCCTCTCCTCCCTCTCCAGGACTGTCTGCAGCAGTGGTCTCTTTCAGCAGAGTGGGGACAACATCATTTGCAATGTCAAAGAACTCTTTATAGATCTCCTCGTCCTCACGGAAATAGTTATACCTGCAGAGGCAAGAAAGAGAAGAATGACTTTTAATAACAGCACGTGGATAAAATATGGTTTAAGAGGCCAAGTTTATTTTGTATTTACTGGATGATTGTTCATTTAGCCATTATTAAAGAAATCCTAACACATGAGGTTCAGATTCCGAGAAGGATTCAGATTCTTACTGAAGCAGGGTTGGAAACTGCACATTGGTCTGTACATGATAGTGAACTTTGCAGCACGATATATACAAAGAATCCACTGTTATGAACACACGCACACACATACAGATATCCTTCTTTAGATTGTGCAGAGGGAAAGGCTGAAATTGAAGAACAATAGGGCGAGCAGGAAAAGGAAGCTGAGAGATGAGGAGGGAATGCGTGTTCTGGTGGGTCAGTGTTGGTATTTTTAGCTGCAGCTCATGAACAGTGTTTTTAAGAGGAGCGAAAAAGAGAAAGAGAGAGGGTGAAGCGCTGGACACCTACTAGCTCGACCACCACACCCTGTCACATTAACTGGAGCTGGTGGTGTTCGCATTACAAGCAAAACCAAAAGAACCAAAAAAACAAAAGACTGAACTCAAACATAACTGTCACATGACATCAATATGGACATTTCTGACCTAAGATGGTATTTACATAGATCTTTGATACAGTTAGAACAGAAGTCAGGACGTATAGGCTTGTGTTTACTGCCACCTTGTGTTCTCCAGGGGAAATATAACTCAGTGAAGTGTTTCCAGCGTAAAAAAGCCCTGATGTCAACACCAGCAATGTTCTGCATATTTTGAAACAGACAAAACTTTAATCTCCTTGTGTTCCTTTTAAATTGGTTAAAACTTAAGTCAAGCTACGCCTGTGATAATGTTAGACTAGATCTAATGTGTCAGTCCCCTGCTTGTGTCATGATGAGGGATGAACTGGTTTTAGTGTAAAAAACTGTTTTCTTTTATTTCTCAATCTGCCAGTTGCATGTTTTTGGTGTAGTAACAGTGGCTTTGAAGTCTAGGAATATTATGTACTTTTTACTCCAGTTTTGAGAATATCACCTCATGTGTTATAAATAGGCAATGCTACTCTGCTAACTTGTGCACATGGAGAAACTGATTCCCCTCATCGCTTCCCTGTGCCTCATAGTGAGTAAATGCAGCGTGAACTCACTCCTGCATGACCTGAGCTGCCTCGGCCCAGGACCTCAGAGCCTCCCGCACATCCTTGTGTCTATAGTGGAAACCAGCCAGGTACATGTAGGGGTAGATGTGCTCGTTGTTGTAGTGCTTCTGGGCAGAGCTTACGGCCTGAGAGGGAGAGAGCGCACAGAAAAAGACAGGGAGTGTGATTTCCTATTGAAGATTCCAAGTGTGTGAAGAAACACAAGAGGAATGGGAACCACCCCCACACCCTTCACAAATCCACAGTCATGTTAGAGGCAGAAAAGAACAATATCTTATTCTCTAAATTTGAGGGGAAACCCATAAAACATTAACACAACACAATAACGCGCAGCTCAAATTTTGACTAGAAGAGCTGAGCACTTTATGGTGGATTAGGTAAATGCATGTATGATATTGTCCTTCATGACTGTTTTCACTAAAGTCCAGGATATTTTAAAGTTCAAAATGTTGCTTATTGTGTTGGTATATTATGAAGAAAGAGTTTGACATTTTGTTGAATGGTAGAGCCAACAAGAACCTTGTCTTACTGCAGACTTACCTTGAGGTGGATTTTCAGGGGGTTCTCTTTGCCAGGTATTGGGTCCTGATCCTCAAGGTCTGCCAAAGTGCCCATAGCCATGGGATACCTGGTAGAAAGTGATGGACAACGTGAGCATGTGGACTTCAGAAAAATGAACATGTGAAATGTTTGCCACAGTCAAGCATTGTGTGCAGATCGAAAGAGTCTGAGAGACTCATCTTCTCTCATTCCTTCTAAACCTTCTCACCTGTCCAGGTCACCACGTTCATACAGCAACCACAGGAGTTTCTGAGAGAAAACATCAAGAAGGGGGCAGATCATGAAAATGCACTTGACATTTTGGAGAGTTAAGAGCTGTGCAGAAAAAAAAATCAATTCTGGTTTGATAATTAAGTCTTGCAATTACCATAGAAGGTTTACAGTTTTTTCCCCCCAACATTAATTCCATCCGTATAGCAGTCTTATCACAATAAAACCTAAGTAATTGTGAGAATTTCTATGAAAGATCAAGTCATATATAACAGCATGGCCTCTCTGACATTTAGGCCACTTCCACAAAAATAAAGTGAAAATGAAAGCTGTGGTTTCCTGGGGGAGGATCAGAGTTAGAGTAAAGTGGTGGTGCTCACCTGCTGCAGCTGCAGGAGCTCAGAGCTGTCCGTATGTAGGTCCAGTGATGGGTTGATAGCACAGACCATGAAGGCCACCTCCATATTTCGGTCACATTTCATGTAGGAGCCCTTCAGATACAGCCAACTCTGAACAACGGACACAAACATGTAAATGTGGCTATAGAATAAACATAAAGAATGCTCTATGGCGACTATAAGTCATTGATTTTTTTAAGGTGGATCTGTTGTAGCCTATGAAATGTTCTATGTCACAAGCTCAGCACACCTGTCTGAACCGGTTCCTCATTTGTTAAGGAGAAGTGAAAGTCCCTGCATTTACAGACAGAAGTTGAGCACAATGTTATCACCCAGAGGAATAAAAAATATGAAGTATGTCTGAACCCAACCCATCTGGTCAGACGAGTGAGATACCATAAGACATGAATCTGCAAATCTTGTGACTCATCTTGGTTTCCTGTTACTTATGACTCACATCCTTTTTAACCTTTTCTGATGCAGGCATGTGTGAAACAGAGCAGTAGAAACCTGAAGCATGAGCCTGCCTGATGATAATAAATGCCTGCTTTCACCCATGACTTTAAGAATTCATGCAAAACCCCACAGCTTTCCTCAGGAATAATTGACTTTTCAAACTGCATACTTTCAATGTTTTACTTGACAGAGGACCTGTATGTTGGTAGCAGATGCGAATAAATGGTTCCGGTGCACCTCTGACCGTTTATTCATTATCTCTTTCTGGGACAGACATGTAGATGAAGGAAGGTCTCACTTTCTCATTAACTCCTGCTGTGACTGTTTGTCCCCGTCGGTCCTCGTTACCCTTTCCGTGCCAGGTGACTTCTGCAGTCTCTTCGCCGCTTTTGCCGAAGATCACCCAAGCGTGGTCTTCAGACAGTGCTAAGTGGACGTCCTTCAGGCCGAGAACCTGGCAGGCTGCCACCACCGCAAAGGCAACCCCGGAGCTGTCCAGTTTGGTGCCTGGTTTAAATTGAATTAGGATCATTTAGACTTCCTACAAATTGACAATCTCCTGAGAAACATTCTCAAAACAACTTATTTCATTTTAATAATTGTGATGTTTTACCAGTGATGAGACTGAAGAGAGACTGGATGTGAGCCCGGTCCTTGAAGTATGAGCGGCTGAGGCTGTTCCAGATCACGTCTGACACTTTCTTCACCAGCTCCCTGCTGGACCCCGAAGTAGTCCTCCGGTACTGGGACAGGTCCACCGCACCCCGGATCTGAGCCGTGAAGCGCTCGTACAGTGCAGAGATCATACCCAGCTCCACCGTGGGGAAGCAGGAGTTGGGGCAGTCTGGCTCCAGCGGCTCAAACCGCACTCCTGGAACGTTTATGGGGACGACTCGGTTCACAGCCAGGAAGTGCTCGACAAAACCCAGGACCAGGGAAAGAAGGGCTAAGTCCGGCTCAGACTTGCGGAGCTCGGCGTCAAACAGCTGAACAACGCCGTCGATCCCCCGCAGGGGAAAGTGCTTCTTTTGGCCTGAATGTAAACCCATGGTGTCCACTGTCCGTCACAAGCGAGATGTTCTCCTCACCTGCAATACTGAATTTGACACAGCAGTCATTTCAACAAACCATCTGCAGAAAGAAGGTAAAATCAAAATAAGGCTCTGAAAAGTCTGAGATTCTATATTTTTATGCATCTACTTTTCCTGAGTTTCCCTGTCGTAGGTGTGGCTCTCCAAACTCCAAACCCATGCAGATCTTCAAAATCCGCTCATTTCAATTTTAAACAGGGCTCAGGACTTTCCACGGCTCACTGCATTTTTTTGTAAACATTACTCAAAAAGGAGAACCACTATATATAGATAATCACCAAGACTTGCCATTCAATTTTTGAATTTCCCTCTGTGTAATATGCTGAAAATGAACAGAAAGTTGGATTCCTGAATAAATAAATCAAACAAAAAGATAATTAAATTAAAAAAAACACAATAATACTAATGAAATCAATTTAGCAAAGGAAATAACTACAAAGAAACACTACTTGTTCCTCCAAACTTTGTGTTCTATTAGTTTTAACTGCTTATTATTTCTCGGATTTGTAATAAACAGCTCCCTGAGAATGAAGACGCTTTCACTGGTGTGTCCTCTCCCGATAAGCACAGCAACATCTCTCGTCACATATTAGATCAGACTTGGTGGACTCTCAGGATTCATGATCGATAACATAAGGATGATTTCTAACAGTACGGTTCTCAATAACACTGACCCCCCCGGCTGAGCAGCTTTGACTCGTTGCATAATGCTGGTTACATCAATGCAGCTAACACGGACTATATGGCGCTGTGGTGGGCGGGGCACTCCCACCGCTACACACATCCATTCAATACAAAGCTGCTGAAAGCTCTCTCAACTCGCTCTCCGCGATTCAACCCGCGACACGTGTCCTGCTCATTTCCCACGCTGTATCATTCCACACCCCCCGAAAGACCCGATCCGACGTGTTAACTCGTTAGCCCGGTTGGTTAACGCAAGCTAACCGGCTAACCTTTTAAAGTTAAGTTAGCTTGCCATATAAGACCGGCGCTGGGTTGTACAGTAAACGCTAACGAGTGTAAATAATACGGATAGTGTACGGAGGATAACCTGAACCGGAGAGAGAAAGAGAGAGAGAGCCCACACCGGGACTAGCGGTTTGAGAGCAGCATGGCTGAATGACGACTGTTGTCAGGAGCGGCTAACAAGCTAACGGGCTACTAGTTAGCTTTAGTCACCACTTTTGCACAAAGCTAATTCCCTTAGCGCTCCCGAGAACCACATCTCCGCAATGTCCCGCTACACCGATTCCCCCCCCCCCCCCCCCCCCCCCCCCCACCAGCCCTCGCCCACGCCGCGTGTGATAGATTACATACCCGTTATCTCAAAGCCTCCGCCACATGTTTTTGTTTGTGTCTCCCTTCTTTTGCCGCGCAGTTCACTCCGTCCGAAAGTGTGTTACCAGCCCTTCTACGTTAGCGCAGCACCGCAGATCTCGCAAGCATCCGCGCGGATCGCTGTCCCCCGCGCTCGAACGCCGCCGGGCCCCGTGCGCATGGTTGCGAGATCTGCGCCGCTCCGCACACGAGCTCGTCCGGTGTATGCCGGGAAATGGAGTTCGTAGTAAATATTCGTCGCGCCTCCCAGGAGGGGGCAGCATGGTGCCTTTATGCGACGGGCAGTCGCTTGGAAACTGAACAAAGGTAAACATTACATAATGGAAAACAGGCCACAGTGAAACGCTCACTGTAAACCGTCCTGAATAAACAGTGTTTAATCAATACGGCCTCCTGGGTGTGTTTGCAATCAGATCAACACACACATCCGTTATATAGTCTACCCACAATTACAAAAATAATAAATATTTTAATAACACCACACAGTACAACCACACGTGTTATGATCGTTAATGGCCCAAATAAAAAAATAAACCCCCACTTCCGTTTAGAGCAGGTTCACAATATGACAACATGGTGTCTGTGTTCAAGAATATTCCTTTTGATGCCTTCCATTGCTGTCGAATTTTTCCCAACCATGATTGAACTTCATAAAAATAGGGGATTATTAACAAAATAATTTAATTTTGCTGCTAAGAAAGTCACAGGGATATGTTTGAAAAAAATAAATGGACACGGATGTTGAATCGAGTTATACTGATAACAACAACTGGGGGTTTTATGTTATTGCACTTGAGCAAAGCCCTGCTGGTGTGGTTGAAGTGGAGATTTCGGAGGCTCAGCGGAGACTTTGAAGGCGTCTCAGCCCGACATGTTTTCCTCCTCCTCCTCCTCCTCCTCTCTCCTCAGTCCGCCTTGTTTCCAACCATCTCTGTCTTTCTCTCAGTGCTCCGCCGCTGAGTCAAGGTGACGACCCGTGTCCCGCTCTTGGGGAATTTTTATTTTTGAGGAAAGTCAGACGACGTCGACACCTTCGAGGGACAAGTCGAACCATCCGATCAGAGGCGACCGTCAATTTGTCTCGAAACCACAGCAAAAATGGATCCGATGACTCAGTCCGCGCAGATATCATCGTCGCAAGGGTTGGCCGATGGGCAAAATTCCGCTGCCAAAGATTCAAAGCTGTCCGGTAAGCAACAGCCTGACGTTACCTTAGCTAGCTAAATGTGAAATGCTAACTGCAACGTAAGGTCTTTGACATGAATCGCTGCTCATGTGTGCTTCGTGTTTACTCACAGGCATGTTCGCAGGTTAGCGCCATAGAAATAATGTAGCTATCGAATAATCGCATATATATTTTCTCTCATTTTGTCTGTTGTCGGTTGTGTGAGCTTGTTTGGGCTTTACAGAGAAACACCTGTGGTGGCTAACATATCCGGACATGCTCTTAACGGCGTGTCGCTTCGATCTGCCCACACTGCATGTGGTGCTATCGCCGAGCAAAAGCCCCTTTAAAGGATCTGTCAAAGTCAACCATGTTCCCTCGCTAACAGTAGCCGATGTGTCAGAGCATGAGGTGAGACACGTTACCGCACAAGACGTTTCGGCCCTGAATCATGGGCTGGTTCTGTTTGCTAATGAGCGGCGTTACACTGCTCGAATAATGAGGCTACTGTGGAAATGCATCCAAAATACATGCTGTTCAACGCTTTCCATGTCAGCCGAATTGAAGTGTGTCCCAACCACTGCTAATATTGTCAATATGTGCTTCCCGTGCCAATCGAATTGTCTGTGTTTGAGGCGCTGAAACCTTAACATGACAGTTTTGACAGTAGCCCCTGGTGTGACAAAAGCGTCATCGGCGATGCTCTGCACTGCAGATGCATTGTTACTGGGCAACTGCCAGAGAAGGGAGGACCTCTTAAAGGCGCATTGCCCCTTTTTTTGTGTGTGTGTCGTCTTCATAATAGTAACCGAACAAAGCATCAGGCCTCATGAGCTCCACTGCCATCATTCATTTCTCTCTAATAACTCATCATGTTCCTTGATGTAGTATTTGCAGTTTGTCAAGTTACAGGCGAGACGAGTCTAATCAACACAAAGGACCAGTGTTGTCTCCCATATCACAGGTTGTGTCAGGGAGTGGCAGCTTTGCCATCTGTGCGTATGTGTGCATGTATGTGTGTGTGCAGATTTAAGCTGTCTGATTGGACTCCGTGGCTCAATCAGCCACCACACAAGAGCCATTTGAAAATCCTTGGAAGCCACGTTCAGTTAATGAAAAGGATTAAAAGGCTTAAAGAATTATGGCACATGTGTTCGTAGGGCGTCAGCTGAGTGTGGCAGGGTGTGGCGCATTGTGCTCTAGGGAGTTTGAACTTGGAGTATGAGATGATACAGGAAATTTCAAATGGAATTTACTAGGATGGCACCGTGATACGTACTGCATCTGGGTGCATTCATTTGTGCAGTGATCATGCGATTTTAGGATATGAGCAAAAACCTATGACCAAATTAATGTCAGGTTTCCCCGGCTAACTGAGGGGTGGAGGGAGGACTGTATATGTGGCGCAGATGAAGCTCCATGGCTAGCAGTTAAATGGCTGGGCCATTGTCCATTTTGAAAAAAGATCATCATTTTAAACCATTATCATCTTCACAATATTATAATTATCATTACAATATTGAAATACACTACTCTCCTTCCCCTCACGTCTTTATTTTCTTTGACTTTTAACATTTGTCACACTTCATTCTTTCTTAGCTCACCATCTGCGACAGATTTTGTTTCTGGTTGATTTCTGCTGGAAAGATGTTAGGAGACGCTAAACACAAATTTCCACTCTCCATGGATGAATTCCCTCTGTGGGAGCAGAACATGTTCTTCAGAAACATACTTCAGGTTAAACTGGACCAACCAAACACTTTTATGGCTGAGTCACTCTGACTCAGTAGAGACGGGCTCAAACAGTCACTAGCCCAGCAACCTAATAATGCTGCAAACAGCCAGTTACATAGTTACTCTCTCCATTAAGGACAAACTGCATTTTTAACACCTAAGCTTCAAAGAGATGTGAGAATATATTCAGTTTAGCACAAAAAAGCTTATGTTCTACTCCCAATGTAGGGAAAGCGCTGATTGTAACATATGATGAAACTATTTTGTAAATTAAAGAACATCATATGTCATTATACCAATTCATATTAGCTGTTCCCAGGTGAGAACTCAGTTTATTAGGAACACCTAGTTAAACTAATGCATTCTAGTATGCCACAGTATTGCAATAAATCCTCTTAATAAAGGTTCAAATGTTCAGCTCTCAGTGAAATTGTTTGAGAGGTGTGTTGTGATCATCTTGGAGGATGTGATGTGTGGTGCTGTTGAGCTGTATTGGGTTTCACAGTTAGTTATTTAGCCTACCTTCATTGATATATGGGGGTGGGCTAAAAAATGAAAGCAGTAGTTTGGGTCTTTGTTTTTCATTCTCAATTTTGATACTGAGATTTAAATACTACAAATGTACACATTTCATTTCCAAAGATTCCATCAGTCTCCTTGATCAGTATCAGTGTCACCGTTGAAAAAAACATAATCATTGACCCAAGCCTGTACTGTATACATCCCTGAATGACTGCCACATTCATACTATAGTTTTGTGCTTATCATAGAAATCTTTCTATAGATATCTGTACAAGGTTTATCTCCCAGTCTGTGGACGTCACAGATATAAGATGGCCTGCTCCGCCTTCGCAGCTTCTTCCTGCAGATGAGTCCCATTTCACTTGACTCGCACGCTGATGAGTGACACTAGTCACAAAGGAAGTGGCACACTTCATGATGAAGACCTAATTTCTTAAACTACATTGCATCAGATTTTCAGAGGAACTTGGCCATGGAATACATTTCTTCACTGCTGCATTATATTTAATCTCACAATCAAAAATGAGTCAATGTTTTTTTTTTCCCCTTACTTTCAACATAACACACTAGTTGCCCTCTCACCATTTATTCTGAGCTCACCGATTTATAATTTACATAACAACTGTCTTCATGTTTCCCAATTGAATCAGACTAACCTTTATTTTTAGGCATCAAAACCCAAGTTACATTCTGTTAATTTTCACAGTGGTCAGAGAAGAAAGCAGTAGAATAGTGTTATATTCCTCAGTTTTTGATATAGATATACATTATATTCATTATATTCTAATTGCTGTAGTTAGTAACATTCCAGTAAGTGAGAAATGCAACACAAAATGAATAAACACAAACTCATCCCTCCTAAAGCTGTAGTCAGTCTGGAAAAAGTTGGTCACATGCATGGATCAGATTTTTGTGACTATTCTCCTATCATTACCATCAGGGTTGTTTAATAATCTCATTTCACCACACCTAAAAGATCTTATTCACAGATTAAGATGGGTGTTCACTCCAAAGCACTTGAAAGTGAAACTTACAAGCAATGCTTCAAAGAACACAGAGTTCTCTCAGCCTCCCCCTCTCTCCACTTTCCTTTATAAGGCGACCGCCCCCCTCCCTGTACACCCTGCTGGAGCAGACCATAGCACAGAGGTCAGCGAGGCAATCAGATAGCCCTCAGGGGTGGATAGGATAGCTTCAGCACCAGGGCAGAAATGGCAAGCGCAGCCTTGGACCCACCCTGCACCATCACTTCCTATAAGGCAAAAGCGTTTTGCTTTGATGCCGTTTCTTTCCTATCTTTGCTCAAGAGTGTGAACTTTCATCTTGAGAGCATGTATTTCTTCATTTCGTGTTCAGATTTTGAAATGTTTTCACTCAAGTCCCTGTTGTCTCTTTCAAATACTTACCAAACCTCTACTCTCCCTCCACATGCAAGGAACCCCACAGTTACTCTGTATTTTCTTGGGAGGAGGTGCATGTGTGAATGCAAATGTCTGAGTGAGACCCTCCGCAGTTTCTGCGGACTTTGTCCCCCTGGCCTCTTAGTATAAACTCCGTAGAAATCCAGGAGATGTCGATGTGAGAACACATCAGGGGATCCCTCGCTGGCAGCACATATGACTATATGCTGATATAGTTACTTTTGATGTTTGTTCTTTTCCAATTTATAAACCCTGACATTTTGTAAGTTGGAACACGTTCTACTAATTTTATTATTTGCTGCCTAGCCATGGGGTTTGCATAATTAATCATAGCATAATAAATACTTGAAAGCCAATCTTATTATCATACTCCTGTGGATCCCATGATCCATTTTGGCGAGTGATCCTCTGAACCTGGTTAAACAATGGCCACCTGTAAGGGACAATGTCAGAAGTAAACCAAGCACAGCATTCTGTTGCTTGCAGGATTTTGACAGGTTAAATTCTCAAAATGTCCCGGAGTGAGAGCAAAAATCTGAGTAAACAGGGTTTTGATGGAAAGCATTGCAAAATGTGGACTTGAAATGAAGAAGTAATGCTCACAATGAAAGACCACGCTCGAGAATAAAGATGGTAAAGAAACTCCATGCAAAGTGTAGTAAAGTGCAAAGGTGACTTCAATTCACGTCTGTAAATTTAGGATTAAAAGCAGGAGCTGTTATTTGGTGTATTGACTGACTGCATGAAGGCAGTCTTAATGGGCCATTCACACATATGGATTAAAAAAGCTAGGACAGCAACAGCTGCTATTCACTGTGAACGAGACATGGCTTTACGCCTGCCGAGCTCAACTGGCTCAACTTTATTCAAATTTCCCCAAGCGACAGCCAGACCAGAGCCAATCGTGATCATCTTGATTCCAGCAGAAACTGAGGCACAGTTATTTACTACTCCTCTATATAAAATTGTTTTATTTTTAACTTCAAACATCCGAGGTTAAGTTATTAAACTCGTCCCAGTGCCAAAAAAAACCACTCACATCGGCCATCTCTTATATTTGGTTGGTGGTCTTTGAAAGTAGATGTCTTATTTATTGTTGCCATATAAAAGTTAACTGTTGCATTTTATCTGCTCTGCTTCTGATAAAGACATTTGCCTATGATGCATTTTCACTCTCAATTCCAGATCTCTCTCTCTTCATAGTTCATAACTGTGGTTACACTTCAATTAGGTCTATGCTGAAAAGTATTGTTGTTCCATATGCAACCTGAATGTGAGAGCAGAATTATTATGAGCAATCTGAGGATATCTAGTGAACGTCCATCATTTAAGCAGCTTGGGTCCGGACTATCTTCACAGTTTGCCTTTCAAACATGAATAATGTAGCACGGGGGTTCTCTGCACAGACACGTTAGCAATAGCGACAAATCCTCCGCAGGACTCAGGCGAGGGGTGGTGCATCAGGCAGAGGCAGGACGTCATCTATTAATTCTGCTGCAGAGATGACATGTTTTTGTTTACAGCACATCGACGCTGGCATCGCCTCTTATCACCACAAATGTTCTTGACATCTAGACAACAGGGTGATTTTCCACCAACAATCAATCTCTCCATCCCGCATCCCAAAGCGTCCTCGGGCAAAAACTGAAACCCAAATTGCCTGACGTTTCTACTTTCTTCTGCTGTGTTCAAAACTCATATCATCTCTAGATCTGTATGTTGGTGCATGTTGGTTTTAGCTCCACAGCTTGACATATTCCAACAGAAAGCATAGTTCATTTTGCAAAGACCTATTCACATAATGACCATTTCCATATTTTGCAATATATATATATAATCTTATGCTCTTATTATGCTTATTTTGACCTATGGTTATATCCATAAATAGTTTTTTTGATACTGAAAATGCATTCTGTTATCTATATCTAATGTAAAAGTTTTTTTGTGAACCATGACATGGGATTATGCTTAAAAAGTGAAGGTGTGTTGTGTTGAGAGAGCTGTATGAATCTGACGGAATGTTGCACTGCAAGGGCACAGCAACCCCAACCTGCTCGGCCTGTACCACCTCCAGTTTTGATGTATTGAAGGGAGATGCCGCACCTCCCTGAGTAAACCTGAAACTTTCACAGTGAACCTCCAGACAGACGTTAGCCTTGCCTGAAAACAAGGCAAGGGGCTGCATTGGAGTCCATGTGCCAGTGAGAAAGCAAAATACAATCTGAGATGTCCAGCAGGAAGAACGGGCTTGCATGCACACTTGGAATGGATGCCAGATGGCATCATGTTGCATTGCAGCAAAGGTTCAACCATATTCAATTACTTTGCTGCATGATGCAGTCATTTTGGATGACCACCCAGCTGCATCTGCTCACTTCTCCCTTTCAAATGAATGAAAAGGACAGAGCGGTCAAAATCATGACTGGCTAGATTCACATTAATATGTTTAAAATGATCTCCCTCCAAACAAGCGTGTTAGCTACACATCACAAATAATCTTCATCCACACTACCACACTTGAAAATGCATTATCATCTGACCATTCACATACACTGGTCATGTACATGGCAGCGTAAACAGGAAGTATTCTCTACTCTGCAGCAACAAGCTACAAACTAGAAACAGCAATGGTGAAAGTGAGAGCAGGCACGAGGTGGAACTGTCACTGAAAGAAATTGTTAGCAATGCCTTGCATTCACTGCTGGTAGTCGAAGCTTGACTGATAAGACTCAATCTGGAAGCAAGCGTTGTTCTCTATGTCATTGTTTAAAAAAAAAAAGGCTTCATTTCTGCAACTCAAACTCCAGACTAGTGTGGACACCACGTAGCCAAAGTGATGCATTTATAAACTAAAAGACAAGAGAATGAGGTGTGACTTCCTCTTCACCCTGACAGAGGCTGATTTCAGGATGGAAGCTGTCCAAACATGAAACGTTAAAGGTTGTAAAGTTACGTAGGTTATGATCATTGTTTGTTGAAACTTTGTTTAAGAGGTGTTGACATAATTATAATCATTTTGGAGGCTTTCATTTGTGGTGGTAGATCTGTGTGTGGGTTGCAGCCCTCTTAACACAGACTTACCACAAGATATGGGAGACAGGTTGAGAGGATTTTGCAAGAACATTAGCAATGTCCAATGCAGTCGTGCTATATGGTCTTATTGACATCTATTTTCATGTTTGTAGGGGTTGATGTCAGTGCTCCATGCAGACCAGTCATTCTTTGGATAAAAGTGTCAGCTAAATGACATGTAGTAAAACAACAAACTGGAAGAAGCAGTTTTTTTTTTCGCCCTGCCCGAGAGGATAATCAAACACAAGGAAAACGCTAGTTTAAGTTATCATTGTTTGTTGTAGCATTAACATTTTCCTCAATGGGAATTTAGAGGCCTCGCCCAAACAGCCCCAGACCAAAAGTATGTTGACAGGTGTGTTGGATAAGACTGCCCACATACTTGGTGTGTAGTTAACGTGAACTGGTTGTGTCTTGCTACTTTCTTTAGAACCAACATAAACTTTGTAAGAGGTACTTAAGAACAAATTGTCTTTTTGTAGTAGTTCATTTGTGGGACGCACTTCTATTTTCTCATAGCAATAATTTAAGCAAAGTGAGAAATGCTTTTGCCTGCTTCGTACGTAAAGGGTCCTCTTGGTCTTACCTGCATAGCAAATATAAGTGCATGTATTAAAGTTGGTGTACCTTAAGTGAAGTTAACAATGAGATCAAATGCATGGGCGTCTGTTAACTTCAACGTAAAAATAGAGTTGTTAAGGCTGGATAAGTTAACCTCTGATTTGAATGCCTTTATTTCCATGGTTGCAGTGGATAGGAGTTATTTTTCTTCTAGGATGATCATTCTTCTGTCCTTTTTATTTTTTCAGATTCCTTTCTTTCCTCTTCGCCTGTATCTCTCATTCAGTCTCCTCAAGGCAAGTGTATGGTTCTCTTACGCTGCTCGCCTGTTCTCCCTCTGTCCTGTACTCTCACGCTGGCCTGCTGCTATGCGCTACTTCATCCCTCTTTCAAGTGCCCCTCTCCTGCTTGTAACGGTCTATTTTTATTTAACAATAAAAATAAAAAGGACCTGCAAAGAATGCGGGAACATGATGAACTCCAGCTCTTAGTCTAGCTCCTTTCCTAGCTTGACAGGTCTTTAGCTGCCCTTCCTCCTATAAAACTAGTCATGTTCTACCCATCTGTCTCAGACACTGCTGACCTGCAGATGCTGGACTAATTGTATGTTAGCAGGGCAGCATAACTCCTGTTTTCAGTGACATATGGCGTGTGTAATTTTCTTCCCCACCCCCACCCCTGCTGCCCCAAACTGCTATATTTAGATTATTGTAATGGCAATAGGAAATGTGTGTATGCATAGTCATAGTAAGAGAAGCAGGAGCTGAAACAGCAGAGCTTTTACAGGTATTTACACGCATGGTACATTTTGAATAATGTGCCTCAGTTGCCTTAGAAGTGATCGATCAAATTGGCAAAAATCCCCAGCAGTCAATGGGAAACCCCTATAACTCTGACTTAGAAGTCCCTGCAGCTTATTCTTGCTGATCTCCAGGATCTTTACAGGCGCCAAGAATTAGACCTGTAAAACGTTGCCTCTGCAGCTGTTAGCAATCTGATCCATTTCAGCCTGCTCCGCCTGCTAACGAGCATTATTTAGGTCAGCAGCCTTCACTCGGTTCAAGATAATCCCAAGATTGCCACCTTATTTTAAGAAAGCAGAGAAGTTCAAGTTCACATTGTGCACACAAGAGCAGAAACCTAAAAATGGATCAGGTTGATGTCCTGAGGGGATGGTCCTACCTTCTTGCTGCCCTAGTATCTAAGCCACCCTCTCTCAGCCCTCTTAGCAACCAGATCCCAGAGGATGAATGGCACTGGAGATGCCATCCACCACCCAGTGGCCTGGGCCTAGCATTTCCTGTGGCTGCTCACTCGCCCTCCTCCCCACAATCTGCTTTTAGCTTTTTAGGCTTTGTGCATGTCTCATATCCTTGCTTCAAGCATTCAAAAATAGGTTTTCTTTCATCAATTTGCTTCTTTATTTTCAGATTATTTTTGAGCTGTGGTTTTTATCACTGGTAGAAGTCCAGACTTGCGTGTGACTAAATGGTAGACAATACTGTGAAAGTATTGCTTGTTAAATTAGAATAGCATCGATGAGCCACAATGTATTTTAATCACATATCACAATTCAACACTTGAGACACAAGTCTTTCTAAATGAGGAATGACACAACATGACTCTGTAAATCTTGACCTATTATGAGCTCAACACGATAGCCAGGGCGCATACATAATCGAAAAACTCGAGTTACTGCGGACAGCAGTACATAAATCATTATATAAGTCAGACGAAAAACCTCATAGGCCTAAATAAGGAGATGGTACATGACTTGTGGCCTATTAGTAGGTAAGCTTACTTTCAGCTTTATCCAAACATGTTCATTAAACATCTTCATTAAGAAGTGATCAACATTCATATAAACTGGCCCTGCCTCTGTAGAAAATATATTCTCAAAAAACTATTTTACACAGTCATTTTAGAATCTGTTTACTAATAGGCTACAGGGCCAAAGGACTCTAGCACTGTTCATTCATGTGACCTAGTTTGAACAAGGCATTGTATTGTGGTGTAGGGTAGGAGGCAGTGCTAGCCAAGATAAAGTTGACCAGTCAGTTGGGCACTAGTATAAAAGTCTTGTCTACACATTGGCAGGGAAGGGTTTGGGTCATGGTATTCTAACAATTAAAGTAAAGAATATCTGAATATCTTTAATTATCTAGACAATATCAGCCAATCTCTAAATACCTTAATTAGTTCATTGCCATTGGTAGATAGATGTTGTTTGATGTTTGGTGATGGTTGTTTGAAATGGGAGATCATCTGTGCTGAAAGGGATCATGTGATTGTTGAACGGTTGCTTAAAACATTTTTAGGAACTATGTAGTGTACACAATGGCCGGGGGGGGGGGTCTTGCCATCAAAGTGATTATAAAATCCTCCTCAGCTTTGTGACTGAGTAAATTGTGTTTAAATGACCTCATCATCTGCACAGGAGCAGCAGTATTATCTACGTGTGTATCTGTGTGCAGGTCTGCTTTTCATTTATAGTGAAATGTACAAAAGAAACACAGCCTCGTTTTTTAATCAGAACTCTTGTCCATATCTGTGTTAGAGAGTTAGTGACAATTTGTTGTCTGGCCAGTTTTTGCTGAAGTATACAGAATGCACTCAGTCTGTCCTTCAAGAAAGTGTTTGATGGAATTTTGTCTCTGGCATTCATTCCAAATTGTATTGGATGGAATGAGCCTGAATGTATGTAAAGCTCAGGAACTTGTCTGGATATGTTGAATGCAAAAAAAAAAAAAAGGAAAATTGGAGGTGTTACTTTTAAATATCAATGAACAGCCAGGGAAAGTGGGTCAGTCTATGTTGTAGATAACAGGAGAAAACATTTTTATATCTCATCCTAAAGTCAGTCTCAACATTAACTTTTTCACAACATTATTTAAGATTGATAATGTTTCCTGGGTCAACCAATGTAGGCTGATGTCCCTCTTGATAAGGTTTAGACCTAGGTTTAAGACCCAAGCAGATTTAGACTACACTGTAGACTGGAGTTTGCCTACGGCAAGAAGCAGAGTGACTGAGTGAGTTGTGTTGACACACACGACACGGATCCACTGTCTGAAAATGTCAATGTCAATCATTAGGTTTTTCAGTTTTCCTCTTAGTCTCAGTGACTGGCACTTTTGGTAGACACACTTAAAAAATTGAGGCCTTAAACACCAATCCATATATAACCCTATAAATACTTTAGGCTGACGCCAAAGTTTAGATTGCATGAAATTGGAGAGGAGTTTGATATTTGAGCAGACTTGACTCTACATTTTGTTAAAAAAAAAAAAAATGCACATCAAATAAAATTTCATTTACATTAAATTAAATAATCTAATCAAATAATCACTGTAAAAATAGAAACAGCTGTCAGGCCTGCAAGTTTATAGTAAGTTATACATACACACTTGATATACAGGTTGCAACTGATGAACAGTGGCCATAGCCACACATGGTGATTTACAAGAACTCTCTCTGTCAGTGAGTTTTTATTTCTTTTGCTGCTTCATTTGATCATCTAATAAATTAAGATACCATAATAAGTGCTTCTTGACGGTAACTTTGTGAATTACTTTAAAGCAGCATGCAAAAAGTGAAGATCCCATCTATTTCATGAATCTGCCTTACATTATCATAATGCAATGCATGATTGCTTGGGCTGCAACATTAATGTCTCGCTGAAATATAGAAGTGCATAAGATTTTAGTGACTGTGATTTGTATGACCTTCCCTCCTCTTTCCTCTTCGCTTTCATTCTTCATGCATGGTGATGCAGACAAAAGAGTTGTCCTGGGCTCTGAAAAGCCCTGTGAAGTTGTAGCGACATCCCTACGCTTTCCTTCTCAACCTGGCTCATTCACACCTGGTCACTATGCGAGTGAGGCAGGGCCACCAGATGGACAGCCAGATTCACCAATAAAGACATCACCGGTTTCTGAGCGAATAAAGGCATTGGAAGCTCTTGCGGCCAAAAAGAAGGAACCTGACTTTAGAAGTGAGGGAGGTTTCTCTCACTTCAGAGATCGCCACTATGACAAGTCTCCCACTGAAATACAAAAATCTCCCACTGAAACCCCCAAATCTCCCAGTGAAACCTCAAAATCTCCCACTGAAACCCCAAAATCTCCCACTGAGATAATCGTACCAACTAACCAGAAAAAAGTCGGGTCTGTTGAGAAGGAGTCACCAGAATCCCCTTTTGAAGTACTTGGAGATTTAAGACAAGTGAATGAATTTGAAGAAACAGAAGTGTGGATGAAGGCTCATTTACCTCCTGTGCCTGACTTCGATGCTGTAGATCTAATCAAAAGTACCCTGGTTTCCAGTACTGTTACATTAAAGGAAAAGGAGGAGACTGACGTAGTTTTGCCCGATACCCCTGCTAGCTTTGCTGGAGTCCCTGATGCTTTCATGGATTCTCCTATTGTAACTTCAGAACTGAAGGCTGAGATAAGTGATGCACATAAGCAAGAGGAGGAGGCAGAGTTTGACCTTACTTTTTTGCCAACAGCCTACATGTGGGATCAGCAGGAAAAAGCAGTCGTCCAGGTTCAAGCAAATCTTGATTCAGAGCTTCCAGCGTCACCTGCTCCTCCTGCAGGCTTTGAATCCCCATCTCCTCTTATCGCCCCACCAATTGACATGAATGATAAACAGAATGTTATGCATGACAAGAAGACCACTTCTGGAGATCTGGAGCCGCCAGAAGCAAGTGAAGCAGACAGCTCAGGAGAGTCAGATGACACTGTCATTGAAGATGGTGTCATTGTCCCTACATCAGTTCCCATTACATCATCTGAACCCGCACTTTCAAATGATCCCACAACTGCCCCTGCCTCGACAGCTCCTGATCTCCCCACTGAGGAAAAGGTGACCCCTCCACCAAGGTCAGAGCGGAAATTAATGCAGGTTCCGACAATCAATGTTATTGAGACAGATGAACCAAATTACAGTGAAGAGGAGATGGAAATGGAGCTTGAAGCAGATGAAGATGAGGATTATGAAGTTGTAAAAGATTCAACCAGAGAAGCTCCAAAATCCCCTGAACCAGAGGACAGTGAAAATGAACAACCCAAGACACGCCCCTTAGAAACTGAAATCATGGAAGGCTACTCTCCTCCATCCTCACCTGTGGACTCTGATGGTGAATACAGTCCTAAACACAAGATTCTTAAAGCTCTTCCAGAAGCGTACCACCAGGAGCCTAAATCTGTGCCAGAGGCCCCACCCGATCCAACTGTTTCAAAGGACTCTGAATCTGACTTTTCCCAAGCACATTTCATGAAGTCAGAGAGTACTTTTAATAAAGTAAATGATGAACCCTTACCTTTCATAGTCCCAAAAGAAGAAGTGGACCTCCCAGACAATGATGACGAATGGTCAGATGAAGCACAAGATATGCTGGTTAAATCTTGCAGTACAAATCTTGCGTCCAAGGAATCAGTTCCTTCCATCCAATCCGAATTGGATTTGAGTAGCAACACAGCTGTAAAAGAGACTTGCGTGGAAGTAGCTTCCCACTCTAAAACCAGCTTCATTCAAGATGAGATATATGACAGAGAGTCTTTTGATTACGATTATGATCGATCCTCGCCTGTGGATGAGCAGTTTCTTTCTGACCCTTCTAAAATCCACGTTCAAACACTGAATTCAAGCCCTGCACAAAATAATGTTCTGGAGAACAAACAGGACTCTCAAACTCTCGATGACTTTACTTCACCGAATTATTGTGAGACATTAAGCAGCATCAATGAGCCAGATTTCAATAATATAACGCCCACAGATGATGTTTCAGATAACATTGCAAATGGAAACTCTCTCCCAGCACAGAAAATTGACACCGAGATCCAGCATGACGTGAAACCAGGTGTCCTCGAACCTGAGGCAACAAGGATCCCAGAGAGTATTGACCCTGACAGCGCAGTTTTGGAGCGTACAGATAGCTTTGTGGAGTTTATGAGAGAGTGCCTGAAATCTAGGCAGGATGAAGAACCTGACAACCAGCACCAAAGTGTTCTCTCCGAGTCCAAGTTCTGTGAAACTGATTGGTCTATCTCCCAGTCCCCACCAACCATGGTGATGGATCTTGAACAAGAACAACTTACTATCAGTGCTCTCAAAGAGCTGGGCAGCAGTCAAGAGGAGGAGGAGTTGGCATCTCTTCAGTCTAAGCTTCCTGACGAGGACAAAGCTAATTCCAATGCTACAGTTATAGAGCCGTCTTCCAATACATCAGTTCCTACCCCTCCATGTTCCCAAAGTGAACATGCAATCGACAGCATATATTCCAAAGAGGTGGAAGCCATTGATGAATGGGTAGCTGAAGCCTATCATCTTGCTGAGCATGTCTTGACTGCGATACTAACCCACTTATCAGGTAACGCCCCTTCTTTTAGGGCACTAGGCCTTCTAAGCTAATGCAGTTACCTCGATAGGATCCCTTTACTCACTTGCCCCTTGTAACTGCCTGCTCCTTTTCAAGATTCTCTTCTCTGTTCATACATTGTATTTGTGTAGACGTATGTTTTTAGGCAAGAAGAAAAAATACAGCCCCCTGTTGATCACAGGAGAACTTTTTTTTTAACCATTCCCTACTTTTGGCCTGTAGTGTAGACTTTAGTATGCTTTAAACAACCTAGTTCAAACCAAACCATAAAAAGATGGACAACATTTCTCCACATTCACCCGTTTCAAAAATGAAGCTAAAATATCCTGGATACGAGTACCACATATTTTTCAATTGGAGCGAGAGTCTGCGTGGTATTGTGGTCTTGCTAATACACACCAATCAAGTCAGAAAGTGTCATCTGTCATTATGAGGATTTGCATATTTTTTATAGCATCAAATAACCATTTAAAAACTGAACTCAGACGTGGAAACATTTGAAGATTCATACAGATGTTTTACAACTTCCTACAGAGTTTACTCATTCTATTGTTTATCCAAACAACATAGAGTTGAGCAAAATTGGAGAATTCAGTTCTTTTGAAGCAAGTGAAGACATTTGGCATGCACTAATACAACCCATATTTGATACGAGGGCAAATTTTACTACAGCATGATATCACATGTGCAGCATCAAATGCCAAAAAGCAGTGAAATGTAGCACTCAAGTAACTGGATCGTGTGTCTTTGTGTCAGAATGTCTTAATGCCTGATACATCAAGGAATACTGGATACAGCTCATCACCTTTTAAGCTTACATGTAATGCTGAATAGCTTTTCAAAATGATGAAAGAGATGATATCATTGGATGTGATATTGCCTCCCCTTATTTATATGTTAGATAATACTGTGTGAAGTATTTATTTACATTGACACCTAAGGGCCTGCTGCACACAAATATTTCTCTTGAAAGTCGTAGAGGCTTATTGGAGAGGATGCTAAAGCTGTAGACAGTGCAGTTGTCCCAGTGATTATAGTAATCAAAGCACAGGGACTACCCTGTTGACTACCATGTGCTATATTGACACTAAGGCAGCTTATGGTCCAGTGATTCCCATTCATTTTGAGCTTATGACCCTCCTCTGCCCTCTGTCCTTTACAGCTCGGCAGTGGTCCATAAAAAGAGTGAGTGTGGGGTTTAATATGGTGGCGCAGTGTTGGCTTGCAAGAACCTTGGAAGTCATGTGGTGCCGTCAATCCTTAGTGTCAGGTTTCTGCCTTTGTGCAACTTTCCACAGTACACTTGGTGAAAACAATGACATGATTAAAAGATAAGGTACCAAAACAAAGTGATGCAAAAGTAATATAAGTAAGATTTTACTTATAAAGGACTTCCTGGTTAAATACAGATTAAACACAACAAATGAAAATAAAGTCCTCTAGAACAACCTTAATGCAAATTATTTTGGTAATGCTTCCTCTCTTCTTCACTAGACATGAGAGCTGATTTAAACCACTCTAATAATTATTATGTATACTCTTCACTTCAAATCGTGAAGGTCAGAATACTGGAATGTATTAAGTCCCTTTCACACTGAACAAAAATAAATCCCACTGACACCATAGCTTTTTTTCCTCAGCGAGAAAGGGTTTAAATAACTCAAATTCCGAGCAATATAATGGAAACAATGCAGTTTTGTTGCATTCATCTATAACTTCTCAGACTATTTGCCATCGTCGTCCATTCTGTTCTCGTTTGCTTACAAACCTTGGTTTTTGGCAGCTTTGTGACTCCCCAGAAATTCAAAAGGAAAATTGTTCTACTGGCAAAGGGAAAGGAATCTATTGTCTTTTTTAGTGGATATAGCCACATTAAAAAAAACTGCATAGACTCTTAAAAGGTGTTTTATTTCAGGAGTAACAACTCCTGCCAGTTCTGCACTACCCGCTATTTTCTGCAAACATGATCTCCATTCCACACACACAGAGACGCAGAGGTTGGTATGCAGACAGTGATCCTAACACATTCAGCGGTACGTCTCCATCTGTGTTGAATATGTTCACTTGGATTTGGCAGAGAACAGTGCAGAGTGCTCGTGCTGCAGCAAAGGTTTGCTGAAGAAGCATACAATGTGTCATGAAGTATCAGACATTGAAGTGTCATAATTGGTCTTATTCATCGTTCTGTGAAGCCTCTAAACAAAGCACAACATCTTTTGAATCTTTTCTGAAACTGAAGAGGAAGCTCTGTTTTATATGCGCTCTATAGAGGGGCATGTGTTGTCCTGTCCTCCCCCTCTAGCCATGAGCTTGTTCTATTTTAAAGCTTCACTGCAGTGCTGCTCCTCAGTAGGATATTAGGCGGGGTACAAGGTGTGTTTATTTCAGTTGGTGTGCTGCTTGTCATGCTGAACGTTTACTGACCATTTTCTGACCAAAGTAGGAAAAAAAATCCACTACACCCTTCCATTTGTGAAATCCACATAGTTATAAGCTGAAGGGGTTCTGACTTTTCTATATGGACTTACTGATGCCAAACTTGTTGTCGGGGCTTCACAGATTAGTGGAATTCAGGCCATTTTTGTTCAGACTGGTGTTAATCATCTGTGTGAAGTTTGGTTAAGTGGAGGAGAAGCACATCAAACTGAACCTGTGTCAGTGTTTGGTATTTGACTAAGCTGCCTGACATCAACCTGTAATTTATTTTTTGTTGGGGCTGTTATCTGGTTTTTATTGAAAGCTTTTGTTTGGGTTTGTAATGAGGTCAAATGAAAAATAGAGCAAGGTTTGAACAGGCTTACTTGACGTAATCTTACAGTTTATTGCTCCTGCTGAACAGTTTGTAGTTACGCAGCTCATAATAAGTCTGCGCCACCCATAATCTTTTTTTTTTCCTCTCATAACCTCTGGATTCATGACCTTGTACATAGTGGGTGGACTTATAACCCAACTGCTCTGTGGTTGAGGTGGAAACAAAGTTGATGTAATGTTCCTATCTGACAGCAACATTGAGCAGGGTTTCCCCACCTCGCACTGCAGGGGTGTGCGTTCTCCCAGCATGCTTTGCTGCTGGCACCCACAGGGAGGCAGCTGGAGCTTGATGTCCCTCTTTCACTCTCGCCCTCTCTCTGCCTGCTTTCGCTGTGCTGTGTGCCTCTCTTAAAGCTACACTCACAACCATAGGCATGAGGAAAAAGGCCCCACTGTACCAACAGTTCAGACATTCTGAACTGCACTGCAGTTGAAGAGATTTATTCTACGTGTCCTTTGACTGTGACAACTTAAAAACATAAAGGTGTCATAAACATGTCCCAGGGCTGAAGCTGCATTTACCACACAAAGGGCAAAGTATTTTTGCAGTACACACAGATGTATGTATGTTTTAATTTACAGTCCCTGCTGCAAAACTAGACACACATGTTGCATTATTATGATCAGGTCGTGTCATGCTGCAAATTTATCATTTCATTTATTTTGTTAAACAGATGCTTCAAGGTCATTGAAGATCAGGGCGTTAGCCTTACTCACATACAATCATTATAATCTCAATTTTGAATAGTACATTATTATTATTATTATAGTTACAACACTGTTATCACTTGTTTTTTGTCATCACAAAAAATTAGAACTTCAAGCAGCCTGTCACTATTCCTGATGAGCACATTGAAGATGGTCTTTGTCAGAACCTTACCTAAGGAGAATGTCACTCATTTTGGAATGAGGGAAGAGATGTTGAATGTTTCTGCTACAAGGAAATGGGTTTGTTTGTGCGTGAGCGAATCTGCATGTTTTGTTTACAGAGTTGGAATATTGAAAGATGCACTTAAGATACAAGTTGTCTTTTGTTGTTCTTAGATTGCATCCACAGGCAAGAATAATATAATCTGGGACATCCAACATGATGGCCTCAGGGACCCGCTGTATTTGCTGCATCGTCAGTTTATTGATGACACCTTTAAATGTAATGATGTTCAGTACAACAGCACTGCAACAAGTCCTACATTCATGAAGCTTATGATGCTTCCTCTGTGGGTGATAACTCAACTCGGTTTCACAATATGGGTAATTGTGAGGCTGTAATTGTTTGTGGTCCTTTCTGCCCACCCACAAAAGACAGAAAATACTATCTGTAATTAATTATACAGACGTCTGTCTGTCTGTCTGTATGTGGATTGCATATCTCGCAAACTGTTCATCAATAACAGCATCACACTTGACATGCGTGTTGTAAATTGCTTGAGAAAGCGCAGAGACAACATTGGGGTGATTTGGACTTGCGATACATTCAATATTAATAAAAACTTTAGTAAACAGACAACCAACTCTGAGGTTTTGTGAGTGCGCCGCATACATTTTGAAAACTTTTGACACTGTATTGGACTGAAGCACGCAAAGCAAAAGCACATTCGTTTTGTTGCTGCAAGCTTTATATTGGGTTGAATTACAGAGCTTTTATTTTGAAAAGTTCTGAACTCGGGTGAAGAGACATGTAATGCATGAAAAAATAGCGGTTCAGTAAATCATAAAAAATGATATATATATTTAAGCCACACAGTAATTAAGAAAATTCAGTTTCATTTTATGATACATGGACGATAAAGCTTGTTGTCTAGCGCTACAGAAGATTTAAGCAAACAAATTCGAGAAGCATGAGCTATCATGTATTTCTAAATGAGCTCAGAACGAACTCGGTATAAATCTAAATGATAAAAGTAGGCAAAATGAAATCCAGTGATCATAGACAATGAAGAAGTAACTGGTTCCTTTTATGCAAAATTCTGAGGAGTCATAGTTGATTAAAAGTGAGCAAGCACATCATTTTAACTTGTCTACAGAAAGACAGTGAGATTAAGTAGAGTCTTGAGTCAATGTTATTCATTGAACTATTTGACTTTTGATATTTGTATAGGAAAGGTAAATTTTACTTAGTTAGGCAGACTTTAATACATTCTGTCTTTGTATTTACAGTAAGATCAAAAAAACTGTTATTTTGTATCACAAAAGATATTGCAGGATTTAGCTAAGGAATAACAGGATGAAGCTGTTTGGAATGGGAATTGTCTTGTGAACAAGCAAATAGGTTCAGTTTTCTATGGTGTGTCGGTGGGTCCTTTATAACGTGTGTTCCCATTAAACTAGCTGCAGCACCCAGGCCTGAGCCGTCCCTGAGGCATCAGCCCACGTGGCCTCTCCACCAATTTGACACAAGGCTTTTTTAAATACCCCCATTTTCCCTACGCAGGGGGAAGGAGTGGCAGTGCAAGCATTACATAACCACCTTGTATAGAGGCTATTACTTCTGCATGCAAAACTCCTCACAGGGCATGCATGCAAACATGAAACTGGCAGCTACAGCTATGTGCCTCTCTGTTATTCTTGGCCACAGACACCCGAGGATATTTATGGCGCATATTCATTTTACGTTTTACTGGGCCGGAGCTGCAGAGTAGTAGGGTTTTTCTCTAAAGGCCTAGTTGAGGTTTTTTCAACTTTTTAAGGTCAATAATTTAGTGTTTACTGATTTGCTCCTGTTTAAGTTAATGTAAAATCTAAACCTGCTCCATTTTTAGCAATAATCTTAATAAAAGTGAGCAACTCTAATTCCATTAAGACATGTCGTACTCTATCTTGTTGTTTTAAATGTATGATGCTTCTGTCAGTGGAAAGCAACAGTCTCTGCAGGGGTGTTTCACATTAAAAGCCTTTCAGCTATTTGATGGCATAAATCTCTCCTGTTAATTGTGTTTTACATATATTTTCATATACAGTAACTTAATATTCTTCATCCTAAGATTGGAAGTAATTAGTAATTATTACCAAATGTGATCCATCAAACTCCTTTAAAATTCTAATATGCGCCATCTAACACACTAATGGTAAAGATTGTGCAGTAGTTGTACCTTTTAAAAAAAATGTTATTAAGAAAATAAAATGTAATTACAGGTTTCATGATATTTCAGTGTAGGCCTGTCAAACTAGCACCAGTCTAACCTCCTCCCTTCCCCTCCACAGTTAAGGATCTGATCCACTGGCGAGACCCCAAGAAGTCGGGCTTGGTGTTCGGTCTGTCCATGCTGATGCTGCTGTCCCTGGCAGCCTTCAGCGTCATCAGCGTGGCCTCCTACCTGCTACTGGCCCTGCTCTGTGTCACCATCAGCTTCCGCATCTACAAGTCTGTGATCCAGGCCGTGCAGAAGTCCAGCGACGGACACCCCTTCAAGTAAGACCAGATAGAATGGAAAGTTGACATCAATACCGCTGTCATTTGAATTTGACCTTTTCTCATTTGTTGTCTGGGAGCTTTGATGGAATTGGATTTAATTGATCAGTATTTCACTCAGAATTCTTATGTTGTCACTGAAACAGAGCATAGATGATCAGATGACTCCATGTCTCCTTGTAGCAGAAATGATGCAACTTATTCTGTTTTTGAACTTGTTTTTCAAAAACTAAACGCCATTTTGCGCTGATATTCCTTTTTTACTATTAGAAAAAAAGGCTGTCAGACTTCGAATGTTGATATGGTAACACCAAAACTAGGATTTGAAGTGCATATATTAGACCGTAACAATTTGAAACTCTTCTGAATGAAGTGAAGACACAAGAGTCTGATGGGAGCTGAATTAACATAAGGTACCAATGTAAGGACTGTTAAATGCTTCAGGAGTCAAGAACACAACATCCACTGCATGGAGTAATAAAGAAGCATGAAAGATTGATTGCGATAAAACTAGTTTCAGTGAGCAGCAAAACAAACAAACAGGAAGCTAGAGTTATCTGCGCAGTGATGGCTCACATGATAAACAATGAACACAGAAACTTGTCCCCTCTTTGCTTCAATGAAAAATTGTTATCCACCTCTTATTTACTATTGCTCCTACTTCATAATATGTTTAATTGCTGTTAATCTACTGGCCGTGAAACTGTATTGCTTTTGCATCTATTTCAAATTAAAAATCGAGCCAAGGTGATGAAAAGTTTTTTAATGTGAAGGTTCTGTGCAGTTGTAGTTGAGTTTTGCGGTTGGCAATTTAACAGCCAACAATCGATATTGGTAAAGAAGCAGTGACTGAAAATAAATTTCACAGAAGAGAAAGAAAGACATTTCTTGGCTAGACCAAGTAATCATTGAGCCATTGGTCTTGATCAGCAACCTTATTAACACTTTTTCATAATTGTTAATTTGTGCCAAAGTGAAATGAAAGCCCCCTGTTCTGTTTTCCTCTTGATATTTTTTTACCGCAGGCTGGTTATGTACGTTTTCTTGCCGCACTCACACGCTTAGCCTCATTTTGTGCTCACCTTCCGCTCCTCCTCCCTCTCTGCAGAACGCTGATAGATAAGGATGTCAGCATCCCCCCAGAGACCTTCCGCAAGCACGTGGACGCCAGTCTGACCTACATCAACCGAGCCCTAAAGCAGATGAGCCGCCTCTTTCTGGTCGAGGACCTTGTGGACTCCCTAAAGGTGAGCAGCTGCAGCCTTCATCACCGCCCACTGTCATCCTTTGTTATGATCATTTGAATTACTTCTAATGTATATTGCTAGTAATCTATTTCCAGTCTGCTCATACATACTCCTCTCCTGGGAGAATCCTTTTTTAACTCTGATTAGTTCAGTCGTCACTCAACACGAGAAGCGAGTCAGTCAGTTAACAGTCAGACCCAGATGTATATTGTTAAAAGAAACCCCAGTAAGCACATCGGTCTCACTGAAATGTACAAATCTGCCCCTAGAACCAACCAATAATTGGACTCCATGATATGAACTCCTTCAACACCATTTGAACGGCAAATTCAATGTCAGAATTAAATAGAAAAAAGACGCATGACAATTCAATTTGATTATTTTGAGGTATTTAGAGGAAGGTGTAGACACGTGACACTATGTAGGAAAAACGTCTGTAAGGTGATCATTCAGTTTGTGGTTGGTCTTTGTTAGTGTGAGCTGTGATGTAATAAACAAAGTAATCATTTGTAGATCAAGGTGCAAATCAATGGTCAAATGATCATCATCAAACCTGTACAGAAATGTATATAGCTGGATTTGAAGCAGATGTTTTGACCCGTTTGACTGTCACAATCGTGGGGATTTTCCGAAGTTCAGCTGAATACAGTACACACATGCCATTCTTTGTGGAGAGAGTTATTGATTTGTTAGCTTTCTACCCCTGTCCTAACTGATCAAACATCCATTTGGTGGATTTAGGCAGTCGTGACATTTGCTCAATGTGACTGACCCTAGGATTCATAACTTCTCCTCCCTACTTTCTGTAAAAACCTTCTGGAACCATAGCTAGCAATTCCAAGAAACTTCAGGAATCATCGAGTGGGTTTTCCGTTGAAGCCTTCACAGCCGACTTCCACAGGATTAGAGAATTGCCTTCCACTCTGCTGCTTTTACATGCAGTTGCCAGCTCTGTTTACAGCTGCTTATTTTCAGAAGCCACCTCTATTCCCTCTTCTTATGGGACAAATGGCTTGGCCGAGGTCAATGATGTTTGGACCAGAGGCGACATCTGGCTGCAGAGATGATCCGTGGCAACTTCTCCAGACCGTTAAGATCTAGTCGACTCATATTTTCAATCATTGTGACTTCCAGTTTGCTTTATCTCTACACCAGTACGCTGGGTGTGATGCCTCCCAGCAGTCTTACAGATGTTTTGCCAATTAGAAGAAAGTGGCCTTTTCAAGGAGTCTGAGAAAAAAAAAACTGAGCTGGAAATGAGAACAAATGTCTCCCTATGTTCATAATTCTAACTTGAGTTCAGAACTGAACACGTTTGAGGAAAAATGTATTAACATTTACTTCCTGCTACTGAAGTACAAGTAATTCTGCCCACCATCAGTGTTTTTCTGACCTTTATTAGTTTGTCACTGTTATTTACCACATGATTTGATCATTTTCTGTCTTGGAAATACTTCACCCTGTGTGCTCCTTTGTCTGCTCTCCTCAGCTGGCTGTGGTCATGTGGCTTTTGACCTACGTAGGAGCTGTTTTCAATGGAATCACCATTCTGATCCTGGGTAAGCACTGTGGGAACCAGGAAACATACCACATTCACCACGAAAAGAATATACTAACATTCAAAATAATTAATATTTCTAACTTTAAAGTCATCACTCCTTTAACTGACTCACAAGCCATTACTTCCTCTTCAAATTGATCATCTCTCCTCATCTCTACTTTGTCCAATGACACCTGTATCTCCTGAAGTAATGGTCATGCTAGAATATAAATGATCAGTTCTCGACAGTGTTTATGATGCTGATTATTGAGATTTGATCCTTTATACTTAAATGTTTTGGCCTTGTGAAATATTTTTCATACTTTTTCCAATTTTTGTGGCATAAACTGGTCATTTTGGAGACTGAAGTTAGTGTTGGTATTGCGCTGTTTCTTGAAATGATCAAATTTCTTATATAGGAGTAAAACATACTTCACACTGCACCTTGGCAGGTGTTTTATGTCTTATGTGAAAATGGATTTGAAACATACACTGTAACACATCTTTGTCTCCCTGTGCTCTCCAGCTGACATCCTGCTCTTCGCCGTGCCTCCAGTCTACGAGAAGAACAAGGTGAGACTGACCCTCCCTCCCAGGTCATGATAAATATATCAGATGACAGACTGACTCTCAGTCAGCCGCCCTGGGTATGAGCAGGGAGCTCACTGGATGACTCCAGCCGTGACCAGACACTGAAGGCTTTCTGCGTCCCTCCCGTCCAGCTGCTGAGAGCATGACCTCATTGTTAGGTCATACAATATGTCTGCCGGCATCGCAATATTCCACGTTTTGTTTTCTTCATTTGCATCATGGGTATTTGTCATCGGTCACATTTTATAATTCCCCTAAAAGTGCGATGCTTTGTCATTGAGGTAATGTCACTTCAAAGTCATACTCCATAGTCATAGTTTTATATGATATCATTCTCAGTTCTGTTCCATGCAGCATAAACTGAAGTTGTGCATCATCACACACCTTTGAGACCTGTTTTGTCTTCATTGTTAAACCAGTCATTGCCATTTAGTTTTAAGTTAGGATTCCTTGGTTCAGGAGACTCTCCAAAACAAACAGACACAATATTTAAAACACTAAACAAATATTTTCTTGCTAAAGAAATCATTTCCAACATCTTCAGACACAGGAATGTCAGAGGGCTGTTAGTCGAGCTAAAGTTAGGTTCGCTACTTTCTCACTGCTCAGCATATTTTTAGGTTAGTTTAGGTTTTTTAGGTCATGACTCAGGAAGTTTTTAGCAGAAGATGAATTGTCGACAGGTCTCCTCAAAGACCCAATAAGTGAAACTCGGATAAAAAGGGAATTAAGTAGTTTGAGGTTAGAAAATCTGTGTTTCATTTCAGCAGATAAATCAGGAAGGGCTGTGAGAGGGGAGGTTTACTCAGCTTGTTTTATTATTATTATATATTAATATTGCATCAGTCCTCCTGTTGATCTCATGCTCTGTCTCACTTTCACTCATTAGCAACATTTTCTCAGCATCCTCAGCTGAGATTCGGAGTTGGTGACTTTGATCCAAACTGAAACCACCACAAGTAAAGGTTAGAGGTCACAGGTGGATAACTCATCCGAGTGACCTCATCAGAGTTGAGGTCGCACCCTCATGTAACATGATTGAGAATTCCAAACTCTGCTTTCGCTTTGCTTACAAGAGCCACAAGACTACGGAGGTTTCACATGTTCTTTTTAAAATGGGATTAAATGTATATTTAGTTATTAATGCTAAAAACATCTTTTTTTTTTACCTTCCAGACCCAGATTGATCAGTACATTGACGTGGCACGTACTCAAGTCAACACCACAATGGCCAAGTGAGTGGTTCTAATCATCAGTGGGGGGGTGTTATCGATACTCATCTTACAAGCTGCAGCTTGTACACCCTCATTCTGTTTTCCGGTTTCTGTATTTCATGTCTGTTTTTTTTTTTTCCTCCTCCAGATTGCAAGAGAAACTTCCTGGAGCTATGAAGCGCAGCAAAACTGAATGATCACCTCCACCTCATTAGAAACCTCCACATCACCATCATCCTCATCTCCATCACCACCCTAACTTCCCCCAGACCCCTCTCCAATTAACCCCCGCCCCCAGTCTAACTGCCCCTCCCAACTCCATCTACCATCACCACCCTACAACACTGAACCTGCTACAACTGCTAGGTAGAAAATCTCTGAGCTACTCAATATTCAATGTAAAACTACTGCGCAGCTTAACTTGCATTAGAAAAGAACTGTGCCTGTGCAGACAGGAAGAGCAACGCTAGCGAGGAAGTGATGTCACGCCACAGCGATTCCCGCCTGTCTGTGGGCGTGCCGCAGGGGAATGGAGGCAGGGTCGAGTGAACTAGACTGAATCTATGACCTGGTTTCATCGTGTGCAGCGAGCAGGGGGGGTTTGATGACTGTTCGTCACCAAAAAGCAAATGTCTGTACTTAAAACCACACATTTCCCCAAACATCAATGGAAAATTTAAGCTGCAAACATTAAAGAAAAAAAAAAATAGAAAAATAAAATAAAGAAAAGCAACCTTTTGGGACTTACTGTGGATAGTCTTATCCTGCTCTGTTTTCTGGATAGATATGAGTTCATATTTGGAAGCTGGTTAATGGGTCTGCTGTTATTAATTGGCCTGTTTATTGGGTTTGTTTCCATTCACCTTACAGGCACGTCTGTATGTAAGTTTCTGCAATGCACTGAATTTTCTTTTTTAAACCATAAGCAGGGTGAAATAAAAGGTTTGGAACACGGAGCCAGCTGTGATAATTTGGTCTAGTTCACCGTCTTGATCAGATGCTTTTTTGGAACAGTTCTGTTTGTATATATTCACCTGAAGACAACTGCAGGCTCTCTGCTGTGTGGAACACGTAAGCCTCGCTTTTTATATCAAAGGACAGTTCCCTCACAGCAGTCCTAACTCCTTTTATGTCGCACCTGTTCAAGCCACAAAGTGTTGATCTCACATTCACTTGTACATTTTGATTCTTCTTATCACTACTTATTACTATTATTGATATGAATTAGAATGGCTGCTTTGACTCCCTACTAGCTTGACATTGTAAGAGTTACGTTAGTGTCACTGAGCGTCATCATTTACACTGAAGGTCTTTCAGAATAGACTCCTGATGGGTTTTTTAGGTTATGAAATACTCTTTTAAAGTGTTATCACAACCCTAAATTTCAAAATGGTTTCACAAATGAATTCGTGAATTTCAGTAAGAAGTCAAGAGTGTGTTAAAGCCTTAACAGAGTTACACAGAGCTGCTTTTGAGAAAGGGTTCGAAGCTCTTGGATATCTTTTTGTCAAATTACTTTAAAATTTAAGAATTTAACTTTTAATTGACACAAATTGTTCATTTGTTGAATCTGCATGTAGCTAGTCCCATGGTAAATTAATTGATTTAAAAACAATCTGTCTTTGAAATTCCGTTTTAATAATTGCATGTTTAAAAGGAATCTCACATTCCTCGCTTTTATGTTGCAAATTTCTGGCCAATCAGCTCCTGTTGCTCCCCTGTGGGCGGATCTTCAATTGTTATTTAATTGAAACATTATTTAAACATATTCAATCGTCAGGCAGGAGACAAATTGTGAGATAGAATGTGAATCGGCAGACTCGGACTCTAGTAATTAATAGCATTTTATGTAAATGTAATTAGCAGTTAACTATACTAATTACACAATATGAAAATAAAAAGAAATAACTATCAGAACGATTTATTTAATGTTATTGAAATAACACATTTTAGACTTCGTACCGACCTCAGTGGAGACGTGAGAGACATTTTAGACCTGAGGGGTTGGTGTAACAAACCCGGGCAGCGATATTTTGAGTGCAGCTGGTTATTATAGAGCTCTGCTTAACTTTCTTTTTCTCTGACTGCCATGAAGCGCATGTCATAGTATAAGCTGGAAAGATCTCACCCTTTATATAGGCTGTATCATATTTTTGACCCTGACTTTTGTTTAATATGATTATTACTTGTGATCGTTTCAGTGGTGTTTTTGAACTAAAAATAAAAAACCATACTTATGTGTCAGCACTACTGCTACATCTCCATATTGTTTTTAAGGGAGGAGTATGTAGAGGGAAATGAAATTACAGGTGTGTTCGTGTTGCTTTCCATTTCCTATAACCGCAAAGTAAGCTTGCACAGGGTACAAGCCGCTGAATGCTAACAGGCCGGCAGTGGAGGAATCGTGCTGTCACTGCTTCTCGGTGCTGACACGACAGGTTTCTGTGCTGAATGTTTTCTCTGGTGGAACATTCCTCTCCATGCATGCCCCACCTCTGTGTGTCACCTACCCAATGCCATGGTTAACTCCTCATGCATGGTGTCTCATTCAGACTCCGGGTGTTCAAACCAAAATATGCAACATTTATGTTGGAGATTTCACCCCCTCCCTCCTCAGGTTGGTAGCTCACCTGAGGCTGAGCTGAGCAGCATCAGTACGGCCTCTTCAGGCAGAGTGGTGGTGGGGGGGGGTCAGGCCATGACGCAGAGAATGACAGAGTTTTTATGCATCCTGCTTATTTATTTGAATGTGAAGAAGTTGCATATTGCAGCTTTAAAAAGTTACATTCTCATTTTCATCTAAAGGTTTGACGTAAACTACTGGAATACAAAATGTTTGGTTCAGTTTATTTAAAGGAACGGTTCAATCAAATTGCAAAAAAAGATGAACTGCACCTACATTGCTAACTTTTTTCCCTGTGAGATATTTGCTTTTACTTGATTACAGTAGAGGTGAATAGATTGCATTTGGACATTTCAAAAATCCACAGCAAAATCCAAAAACAGTGTCCTATGGACTATGACTTCTTCCAAACTAAATTCCATTACCCTCTGTTGTGTTATGGTGGAGGTAGAAATAGGACAAAAGCTACAAATGGAAATGTTCTCTGAAGTCTGTTATAATAAACTAGAGGCAAATCCATTTGCAAGGCCTGATACTGCTGGGTTTGTTTTGTTCTTTGGTTGAACCGACCCTTTAATTTTCCAGCAGCTACCTTTATGCACTGCACCTATAGGTGAAACTAAAGACCATGTTACCTGCTGTATGTTAGTGTGCTACCAGGGTAAACACATCACTGCGACTCAGAGCTGTAGTTGGCTTATCTCTTTAGAGTCTAATGTATAATATGAATAACACTTGACACATTGAACCTGTTCCCTCACAGCATGTTGCTTTGCTCCTTTTCCTGTTTGTCCAAGTGTGTCTTCATCGGGTTAGGGGGGGGTGTGTGGCAGGAGTGTGTTCGACTTATCTCGTCTCTGAGGAGTCTCGTTTTGCTTCTGACTCTTAACTGGTATCTAGATGTTGTTCACTAACATCAGCTTTGTTTTGTATTAGATATGACTTTGGTTTTTGAAGCTTTGGGAAAGATGTTGCAGGAAAAAAAAAAAGGAAAATTGGAAAAAAAACGTATGTGGTCTCTGTACTGATGTCAAAGTGAAATTAATAAAAACACATCAAAGGACTCTGCGTCTGTTCATCTGTCTCCGGGTAAAGGGCACTCGAGGGCCTCTATGAAACAATAAATACTGTATTTTCCCAGCATGCCAGCAGTGTGGGAGGATGGGGGATTTAAAAAATGCATCCAGATGAAATATCGTAAACAAGAAGATTTGACGTGGGAGGCAGCTGTCTGTTAGGGTGTTTGGGTGGAGAGGAGATTATAGTTTCTAATTTTAGACCAAGCCATCAAACTAAAACCATTAAGTGTTAATAGTCACAAGAATACTTCCAACACATCCCATTTAAAGCCTATGTGGTGTTATGTAATAGAATCAAAGCCACATTTTTATAAATGCTGAATGAATGCCACTACGCTAGCTGCTGTGTTACAGATGAACGCACAGTGCATTATGGGTAGAAATGCTGGGCCATGCTCTTCATACATGGAGAGCAGTCAGCTTGATTTGATCTCTGGTGCTTCGACATAAACCTGGATTTTGGACAGTCAATCAACCCTTCAGTCCAAACCTTGAGATACCAAACAAGTGCATGTAACTGGATTATGAACCCTAAACCCCAAGATAAAAAAACAGGCACGCTGGAGGACAATAAACTGGATCATGTTAGCTGACTAAGATCCTCTAATCCTGAATTAAGTAGACGCCAGCCAGGCCCTTTCCGTGTGGAGTTTGTATTTTCTCCCTGTGCCTGCGTGGGTTTTTCTGTCTTCCTCCTCGTCCAAACACACAGTCCTGTCAGACTGGTGACATGTATAGAGCTTAACCCACCTCCCATTACCCTCATAGGAGAAGTGGTTTCTGCAAAGCTATGAAAACCATGGAGGTGCAGTCCCTGGATGTCAACAACCAGGCTAATTTTAGCAGGTCCTATAGTTCAAAGAAATGCTCTGGAACGATTACTGTATTTATGAGCAGATCTGATTCACTGCCAGTTATAGGCTGTTACACCGATGATCCTGTTAAATCCATTTTACGGGGATTGTCAGATATGATTAGAGGTTTGATTGGTTCTGTTTGTTTGAAAGCTTTCCTTCTGACTACTTCTTGTTCTGACACAGCGACTGGCAGCAGGTTTAGGTCCTCTGTACAGCGAGGTCTGTTATAAACTGCACAAATAACCAACTGTCCTAATTAGTTTGGTCGCAATGCAATTAACCTGCTTAATTTGCAAGTTTTCTTAGATGGACTGTATATCTAGTTTGATCAACCACTCAAAGCACAAACACACAAGTCTAAGCCACACAAAGCATATTAATTCATTAAATTAGCAAAATATTATTTAGCACATGGTGTTGCAATTCTATGCCATAGGAGACATTTCATGTATATACTGTATGTACAACAATTATTTTATTAACGTACTGTTTTGTTGTCTTTTGTCTCGTGCGCTGTAAAAGACCGGCACCATGAACAGGAAGCTCTAGGAAAATATTCAACACAATAGGTAAATGTTTGATTTGTTTATCTGCGATGCAAATTGAATAGTGAATAGTTTTCTATAAATAAGCAGAGAGCGTCAGTGTTGAGTTTTTATTCAAAAGTCATTGGAGAGAATGAAGATGTCACATGTTGGCCATGTACAGATGAAGGGTGAGCAGACAAAGTCAAAGTGAAGAAACTTGAGAAGCTGATCATTCACAGTATAAACACACGTACACACAAACACACAAGCAAATGAGTTTGATCTCATTTTCAATTCCTCTACCATTCACTGTGTTTTACTTCATTTTAAATAATTAAGTGCCATGTCATACCAGAGTGATGTGTGGGCCTGTCGCGACCAGTGAAATGAGTTAGGACTGTTTGTCCGCTGTCAAAGCGAAGCAGGGAGTTTGTTAAGAGCTTTTGTACCAGAACATCAATTCTGATCATTCTTCAAAAATGTAACTATTGAGATTTTGTGCTTCATTCACATTTGTGTACGACAGAGTGATAGGGCCACTGTAAAGAAAAAAATGGAGATTTGTGAGTCAAGTCAAAATAAATTGAGAAAATGTTGAATCATAATCTGAGAGGAAAAGTATTCTTAATTCCAGAGACACGGTTGACAGTAAACTTTGCTAGTAATAATTTTATTTA